CCTTGGGTGAAATTCCCAAGGTGGCGTTGTTGACAACTGTTGGCTGCTCCCTGAACAAAGTAAAAGGTTACAGCGTGCTTGGAGCACGCCATATCTGTAGCTCCCTCGCGTATTGCCACATCGGGGATAAATCTACCAACTTTTTTCCTTTTCAAGCACTTTGTTTTGTTTTCTTGACTTTATTTGAATAGTATCCGGCCCTTTCTCTCTAACCTTCCTGCATGCTGCGTGTTTTCTCCGTCTTCCAGAAAAACTGTTTCCTAGATTTCTTACTTTCTAACTAATCAGCCGAAGGGATCTACTGAATGCAAAAAAAAAAAGCTTCATATGCGCTGCGCTCAGCGAGGCACAGATTATGAACTCAGCAGAGGCAAAGCACGTCAGAAAAGTACTTTAGGTACCAGAGTACCAGGTAAGTAGGTTTTAACTGTTGCAAATCTCCAACGCCTTACATTACCACATTACAGCAAAAAGGAATGCATTACAGTAATTAATTACTTTTGTACCGCATTACTCCCAACACTGATTGGATGGCAGTGAGGATGGCATTCTGGGAGGAGTTGGCAGGCGTAGTGATCTGATGGTACACCTGGACCGCAGCAGCATGAGTGAGCAGGGGCGTCGGACTGGGGGGGGAAAGGGTACCGTTTACCCAGGGCCCACTGCAGGGAGGGGCCCTGAGACAGCTTTGAATAAAAATGTTTTATTGTTGTTGTTTTTTCCCCCCAACTTACTTAATGTCTTAATAAACTTCCCTTTACCTGGATAAAGAGGTTAAGAAACAGCATTTCGCCTTAAAAATAATAACTGAATAATCTCTGAGGCATCTATCACCCCTTAAAAATGTGCAAAGTGGTTTAGTCCACACCAGCGGCCAGGGGCATGTACAGCTAATGAGACATCGCAGATGCCGACAGCCAGAGCTGGAGGCAGGAGAGTCAGTCATGTCTTTTCCCAAGAAAGGGAAATCTGGCTTCCAGAAAAGAAAAGAAGGAGAAGGAGAAAAAGTTAATTGAACAGAAGCAAGTAGAAGGAAGGTGAGCAGCAGCAGCAGAACACAGTTTTAGCTGATATTAGCTAGCTCTCAGAAGCTGCATTCATGTTAGGTGTTCAGTGTTAAACGCCTTTAGTTTCACCATCAAGATCAAATATAAATTAATTAGTGTTATCAGTGATAACACTAATTAATTTATATATATATTAATCAGACATTATCGCGGGCGGCCGCCGCCAATTAATTCGCGGACCTCTCAGTAAAAACAGGTTCACTCTGTGTGGATATTTCAGCTCCTTCCCAGTCATGGACCAGGACAAACTTGATATCGATGGATTCGTGGTAATCTCAGGAACGTGAAGCTGCCACTGTTTTTCGTATAGCATGATGACACAGGTGTTAGAGGATTGTTATTGACTTGGTTACATATTTTAAGCCTATTTTAAATTTCTTTATATTTGATCTTGAAAACGGACAATCTTATAATTTGGCTCATAATGCAGGGATTATAAAATTTAGAGTACATTACATTCACAGAGAGAACCTGGTTTATTTCATGTCATATGTATTTAATATATCAATATATATCAGCAAAGCTTAACATCATGAACCATGACAGACATGACTGAAGAGCAGATGAAGATATCATGCCAGGCACTGATGAGAAAACATTACAAGGATCTCACAGCTGAATTTGAGAATGAGATGCTACACCTGAGAACAATATATGGTGCCACATTTCCACACAGTCGGTCTCCTCTTGAGCTGCTTAATGCCATACAGGATGCAATTACAGAGCATTTTTGGAGAAGTTTGTATTGGACTGAGGATTTTTTGCACACTGCCTGTGACTGTTGCTGGGGGTGAACGGGCTTTTAGCAAACTGAAACTGGTGAAAAATTATTTGAGATCAACAATGTCCCAGGATAGACTGAACAGCCTAGCTCTTCTTTCTATTGAAAGCCAATTAGCCAAAGGATTGGACTTTAAAGATCTCATAAGTGATTTTGCTAACATGAAGACCCGTCAGTGGGCATTTACTGGAAAATAAATTCCAGGATTTTTGTTTGAACACGTTGGCAAATAAAAATAATTATATGTGAAGTCTGGGCATTTCACTTTTATTATGCTGGCATTTGTATTTGCTCAATATAGAGGTTAAACTAAGATCATATTTATTGTCTTGTCTTATAGCATGACAAAAAATGTGTAAGAGAGATATTAAGTAATTGAGCATGGGGGTCCACCTAGAAGACTTGTACCTAGGGCCCAGAATTTGGTGCTACGCCCCTGTGAGTGAGTACAGCGAGGCAGAGGGCGTCTGAATAAAAGCCTCATTTGACTTTTGATTTCACATGTCAGCAAAGTTCTGATAGTTTGCATTCAAATTGTATTTTTGATCAGTATTTGTTCTCAAATTTATGTAAAAAATAGTTGAATAAAGTTATTTTTTCTTGTCATTTCCTGAAGATCAGTCTTGGAAAAGGCGGTCGTCTTATAATCGAAGTCGCCCAGTATTCGGGTCAATACGGTACTAAGGTAAATATTAAGTAATGCATTACTAAGCAGATCCCCCGGCCTTTTGTCCTAACCCTTATGACACTTAATAGTTAACAACACTGAGAACCTTAACAAAAGGACCCATCCGTACATTTTTGGCCACTTATCCGGGGTCGGGTCACGGGGCAGTAGCCTGAGAAGGGAGTCCCTCCGGCGTGTCACGGGGTTTTCCTTTAGGACGTGCCCGTAAAACTTCACCAGGGAGGCACCCTAACCAGATGCCCGAGCCACCTCAACTGGCTCCTCTTGATGTGGAGGAGCAGCAGCTCCTCTCCGAGCCCCTCCCAGATTATGGAGCTTCTCATCCTATCTCTAAGGGAGAGCTCAGCCACCCTGAGGAGAAAACTCATTTCGACCGCTTGTATCCGCGATCTCGTTCTTCCGGTCACTACCCAAACCTCGTGACCATATGAGGGTAGGAACGTAGATCGACCGGTAAATCGAGAGCTTTGCCTTCTGGCTCGGCTCTCTCTTCACCACGACAGACCGTTACAACACCCGCATCACTGCAGATGCAGCACCAATCCGCCTATCGATCTCACGCTCCAGCTTTCCCTCACTCGTGAAAGAAAAGAAAGAAAATAATCTTTTATATCGCGTCTCTCAAGATAAAAATCACGAGGCACTTCAAACAAGACTCTGAGATACTTAAGCTCCTCCTCTTGAGGCAGGACCTCACCCCTGACCCGGAGAAGGCATTCTACTCATTTCCGACTCAAGACCATGGTCTCAGATTTAGAGGAGCTGATTCTCATCCCAGCTGCTTCACACTCGGCTGCGAACCGCTCCAGCGAACGCTGAAGATCACGTTCTGATGAAGCCAACAGGACCACATCATCTGCAAAAAGCAGATAATAAAGGGACCCTTTGTTTATTAATGCTTAATAATGCACTAAGTGATGTTTTTGTGTTTTCCTGTCAATTCCTGCGTTTCTGAGCCTCATCCCTCGTTCACACCGAGTGTGGAACAGATGTGGTCCAGACAGACTGCCGTTTACACCAACCGCGGCCCGTGTGCAGAGTTCTTCCCCGTGAAAGCACCAAATCTCGGGGGTTCACATTAGAAATACAATATAATACATTTAAGGATATCCGGAAGTGAACCAACACACACTGCTGTCATTAACGACAAAAACAGGAAAAATACTTGAACACGGGTTTTATTTTGAAATAAACCGGATGCACCTTGCTGAACCACGTCTCACTTCCTTCCTCAGAATTTCTTAAACTTCATAACATCTCACATGACAAAAATGGACTCCATGCGGAAACTTTCCAGAGCTTCGCATCTGGAACCGCGTCGCACCACATCCGGTGAGAATGCTCTGACTGGACTCGATGGTTTTTGGTCTTTGCAGAAGCCAAATTTTAAAATGGAAACACTTATTAGTCTTGTCATCATCCCGACTCTTTAAAAACACAGTTGTCCCCACGGGCAGCCTCCTGCATCAGTCTTGCTCAAACAGAAACAATTTCCTTCATATTTTGCAGGTTTTTTTAAACAAACTTTGGTTTGTTCCAGTCAGTGAGTCAGAGCTCTGTCCTGCGGTGCAGCTGTCAGAGGCAGTGGTTGGAGGTCGAGTGCCACGCAGACTGCCGCAGCAGAAAGTCTGTGGTGTCCTCGGCTAGTTTGGCATGTCTGGAAATGGCTGTGAGTTGGGGGCTCAGGGGAAAGCTGTAGCTGTACAGACAGTAGGAGCCTGCAGCTTCCGAGAGACGGGGGAGGAGAGGGGACCCCTGGAAGCTGAGGGGATTGTGGAGGGGGACCAGGCACGGGGAGCTCCCAGGGGAGCCGTGAGGACACGGGTCCCTGCAGTGGAGGGGTTTCTTCCCCTGCAGCGCAGAGAGAAGCGGGAGGTCTGTTAGAGGAGGCAGCAGGGGGAGGCCTCTCAGTCTGTCTGCTCCCAGGGAAAAGGCTCGGCCAGGCAGCGGGGGGGAGGAGGGAGTCGTCTTCCCACAGAGAGGGAGAGCCAGAGCATGGAGAGCGGCGTCCGGGCAGGGGAGTGGGAGAAGAGATGAGGAGGAGGGAGGAAGGAGGTTCTTCACACCACTCGTCTGAGATCCGGTGCTTCCTTTTGATAGGAGGACAATCAGAAGGTTAGAAACAACATAAACCAGGTGTGGAGAAGCCAGAGAGCTGAGGCTCACCTTGGAGCTGGATGGTGAAGGGCTTAAAGTCCAAACTGAAAGGACCTCTCCAGGGATACGAGTCCAGCAGACCGTCCAGTACCCCCCTGTTCTCACACACACACACACACACACACACACACACACACACACACACACACACACACACACACACAGCAGATTTATGTGACGGTTTTACAAGGTTTCACTTTTCAGTGGTGAGACTGTACGTCCCCTCTGGGGTCCTGTAGAGGACTAGAGGTGTTGATGTTCAGGTCTGCCGTACCTGTTCCTTCCTGGATCCCTGAAGCCCTTAGCGAAGGGGTTCCTGTCGATCTTCAGTTTGGTGATCTGACCCAGGAGAGAAGAACGGACGTTTGTTAGAGAGAGCTGATGTTAAGCTAGCAATGAGCTCAGCTTTACAGCAGGACGGAGACAAGAACCCCTCCTCTGGGACTCCATCTCCCAGCAGCACCTAAAGCGTTAAGCCGGACTCTCTTGGTGTGGTTTTAACAGGTTGTGGGCTGCAGCAGGCGGCCGGTCACAGCTTGTTACTGAGATCCTGTTACGTGTTCCCAGAGAGTAAAACGAGCCCCGATGAAAAGAGCTGCTGGTCCCTGAAGACGGCTCTGTTACTGAGGGACCGGCAGGTAGTCAACACACACACACACACACACACACACACACACACACACACACACACACACACACACACACACACACACACACACACACACACACACACAGTCCAAACAACCGCCTTAAAGAGTGTAAAAGAGTCAATTTGGCTGATTTGTGTTATAAATAATAAAATGTAATAAAAACTCTGAATCTAAAACTGGTTCCTGATAAAATCCTCTCAGCTGGGAGTCCGGTTGGGTCTGAGCGAGCCGGTACCTGCTGGTTCTGGTAGGCCGTGACCGTGGTGAACTCCGTCTCTGGGAAGGAGAAGCTGTGAACTCCTTCAGCTGGTAGAGACTGGATCTGAGACAGGTCCATCCGAGGGTCGTGCACGATGACGTGCACGCGCGGCTTGTATTTATGCATCGACTGAAGAATTATCTACAAAGTGATGAAGATAAAAAAATAAACATGTTTCTGCAAAGAAATAGAAACAGCATGAATTAATTAAAAATCTTCCTCTTTACTAAAACTATTAATATTATGTAGGATTATTATTGTTCTAATCTTGCATCAAATATTTATTCTCTGCCTTCTGTGTAAAATAACGTTTTATCAGAAGCTTTAATAAACATTAGTTAGACAACGACCTAAAATAAAACAGTTATTAGTGTTCTCTGTATTAAAATGTGTAACAAAACAGTTAAACTAAAATTAAATGTAAAAATTAAGAATATAATAAATGTGTTTTATCATTTAAATTTAAATTAGAGACAGAAAACTGAGAAAACAAGAACACATTTTCTAATGAACCCTCTAAAGTTCAGCTTCCCGTTTAACGTGGTGTTTTTATTTGGCAACAATATATAAAATTTTATTAAAGCATAAATATAAACCTAGATGTTTCAGATGTTCTGTGGATGAAGGAAATAATCTCGTGTTTTTCCTTTTGAATCAAAAATAAAATCACCGACAAGTTTGTGTGAGATTTGTGATTTTCTACTGAATCATTGATTCAAACGTCCAAAACCTTTTAGATCATGTAAATTTATCAGGATTAAACTGAGATCAGCGTGAGAGAAGGCCAAGAACAAATGATCTGATCCCAGGTCTGCGTCTCGGTTCTCAGATTAAAAACCTTGAGCTTTATCAGATGTAGTAAAGGATTTTAAAAAAATCAGTTTTTGTTCTCCTCGAAATGATTTTGTGTTGTCTGATTTGGGAAATTAACGTTTCATTTATTGTCAGACTGAAAATTAAACTAAAATAATTGTTTAAAATCAAGCAGCTGCTCCCTGCTTCTCGTGCAGTTCCAGTGTGGTAATCTGGGTAAATTATGGGATTATAATTTTGGTTAAGAGAAGTCCGTTTTCACATCTTTTGCAGGAGCTCCTCTCGGCTCTCATCTAGAGCAGAACCGGCCCTGATCCACTTTATCATCTCTCCTTTCATCCGGGTTACCCACATGCCCCTTATCGTCCATCTCGTTGTTGGTGAGCTTGACCCGGTCGAAGTTGATGACCTGACGCATCCACGTTTCTCCCGTGCACGGTGAGTCCGGGTGCACGTAGAGCCGGGGGGAGATGCAGGAGTGGTCCGTGTTTCCCGCCACCATCCACTGGGAGCTGTGGTACACATACCTGCCGCAAACACGGGGTCAGCAGGTGGGAGGAGCATCAGCAGAACAGGTGGGTTCTAACCAACTCACCTGTAGCGCTTGGAGTCCACGGGCATCACGTCCATGGCAACGTAGTACTGCTGACATGGGTCCAGATTGCGCACTTTGACGCGCACGGACGGAAACATCCTCCTAAACACGTGACAGCAGATACATATCTTTAAAAGTTCGTTAAACATTACATTTATCCACAAACTGCGGATGCGGGGATGTGAAGCGTTGGATTCTGGGTAATTTAACAAAATGAACAGAAATATTTTTCTGAGGGAAATAATGCAAATATTTCTTTTCTAAATCTAATCAGTCCAAATGTTATATTTATGTTTTGGCGCAGATCTGCTCCAAACATCTAGCGCTCTTAAGGAAACCACAATGAACGCTTCCCGTTTCTTCATACAGCCCATAATAACCTGCTGATGAGTTTGGAAAGCCGTCGGTTCATCTGTGGATGGCTGCAGACTAAACCTGATAAATGTGCACCTGCGACCGCAGAACAGTTAATATAATTCACGCATTCATTACAGTCAGCAGGAAAATGGTTCTAAACTGATTCAGCAGCTAAATATCTCTCAGTTAGCTCTGGTTTTATTTGTTTATTTTTCACAACAAGACTTCGTGTCTCATTCTGGAACTCGAATAAAATCGTCTGGTTAGAAATCCTCACAAAATAAAGAAATATTTCATAAATGAGTCCAAACGGATTTAGTTTCATAGCTTCATGTTAAAGCTGGCAGAAATCCGCGTCTGGTCCATAAAACCCGCATCCACCGGTGGATCTTCTACCTGCCAGCTTTAGTGATGATCATCTCGGTTCCGATCTCATAGAACCTCTTCCACAGCTCGCAGCCCTGCAGCTCCACTCGCACGTGTCTGTCCGGCCGGGAGTCGCTCTCCAGCGGCTTGTTCTCCTCGGAGTCCTCGGTCTCTGATCGGTCCGTCTGTCCAGCCTCGTTCCCGGGGGAGTCCTCCGCTCTCCAAGTTCCTGAACCACCTGTTTTAGTCGTTTGTCCTGCGGGATTTTCCGACTGGTCTGAAAGTTTTAAGTGAGAAAGTTAAAAAAATAAAGCTGAGTCTTAAAAGCGCACCAACTTTTCAAGCCCGACGTCCAGATTTAAATCTTATTCATAAGATGAAGAAATGAATTTTAAAAAATGTATATTTAGAAGTGAGTTTTTATCATCATTTAGATTTTTAAAATAAAACATCTCTTTTGCCAAACTGAAACCATCAAAATGCGATGTCACAAACTCTAGTTGCGCGGTTTTTCATCTTGTGCGTAAAATTTCTCCAATGAAAACTCAGAATTCACCAGTGCAGATGCTCCCGTCCCTGCCGGGGCCTCCACCTGAACCCGAGTCCTGTCTCTCCGACACTTTCATCCTCTTGCATGGCTTCCCCACCAGCGCCTCCACCGAAAAGGCGTGCGCCCGCGAGCTCAGGCCCTGCATCCCACCACCACGCGTTTCCAGCTGAACTTCTGACTGTCCCGCATATAAGTCCCCCCGTCCCAGCTCAGTCCGAACAGGACGGGGTGGGATAAACAGCAGCAGCACCTCAGGGAGCCCTTCTTCCCTTGCTGCGGCACCGTGACGCTGCGTAATTGATCCGGTGCGTTGCCATGTGCTCTCCGAAACGCGCGTACTGATCCAAAAACCTTGATAATTGGCACGCCCCTTCTATCATCTTTCACCACAGACGGCCCCTCTCTCTCTCCTTCTTTATCGCCGTCTCTCTTTTCTCCCTTTCCTCTTTGCACCACTGGAGGTTCGTTCCTCTGGCTGCGCTCCGTGCGTCACTGAGAGGGAGGGAAGTGCGCGGCGTACGTTTCTTCACAGGGGCCTGCGCTGCAAAAAATGTCCTCTCAATCTGTCGACTTTCACTTTAACCCTTTGATGCATAACGGTCACTACAGTGGACAGGTACTCAAAATTGTTATTTAGTTATTTTTGCTATTAAGAACAGCTGTTGAAGACTTAATTGCATGTGAGCCCCTCCATTTGGACTTCAGTAAGTCCAGACAACATATTTCATGTTCAGAATGCACCATGTCCACGGAGGTGGACATGTAATAAATAATTTGTAAATTATCATATGTTATAAAAAATATTTGCTGAAATTTGTTTCATTTACGCCTAAAGATGAATGAAAAAAATTGTTTAAAAAATCGTGGTTGAAGATTTCATAATTCATGCATCAAAGGGTTAAACTTAAAAAAAATGGTTAAAATAAAATTCTGGTTTCTTTTTCATGTTTTAAAAGTCAGGTGTTGTTTGTGTTTTATTAGGTTTAAAGCGGAAATTAAATATCGAAAAGCTAAAAAATAAATAAAGAAAATGCCGGAATGAATATTTTTGCAGTTCATTTTAAACGCAGGGGTCACCAGTATACCATTAGTGAGCTGTTTGCTTCCCCACACCTGCCTGGTAAAGGTTCAGATCTTCTGGTGTTGGGGGGAGACATCTAAAAGTGTCCCATGAGGGCCACATTTGTTACTTTCTCCTAAGAACGTTCGATATTTAAATGTCCGTAAATGTTTAATAAAAAAACAACAGGATTGCATTATAGATGGATGGGTGCTTCAGCGCGTGCTGCGTATCCAACTGGAGCGCTGTTTACGCACGACGTGCCCCACACGACCAACAACACCTCTACCAGATTTGATTCGAGGAAACATGTCATTTGATCAAACTCCAACTCCCCAGGTCTGATTCGATGACATTAAGTCACGAGTTAGTGTGATTTGATGGTCTGAAGTTCAGCCTGGAATGTCTGGTGTTTGCGTCGCGTTTCAGCCATTTCCCCCTTGAGGCGATGTGGAGCGGAGACAGGTCTTTGGATATTTCCTCCCTCCCTTCGGACAGCCGATACCCAAACAGAACGGGTTCTGAGGACCCTGGAAGGGAAACAAAGACGCAAATATTTAAGTCTGCAAATTCGGGACATCTGGGAGGTAACACATATTTGTTGAAGTTCCCCAAATTATTTTGAAGGCTTTCGTTCAGGCCTTTTTCTTGTTTCCCCGTCAGATAGTTTTCTCTCTCTCCTCCCGTCGTGCTGCTGAGAGGGTGTGCGTCAGTCTGGTTCTCATAAGATCAGATGGAGTTTGGCGCACATTTTAGAGAGGGTGGGTGGGTCTGGGTCATAATGACAGCTCGGGATTATTACATTACTGCTCGACATGAAATAGATCCGCTTTACACAAATAAAAGTCAGCGAAGGCTCTATTTAAAATGGTTTTAATCACATACTGTAATTGCTGTGAGGAGAAAGCAAATGAGGGTTGTGTTTACGGCACGCTCGGCCTGCTGGCTGATGGAAACCTCCGACAACAGCCGGGAAATGGAGAGCTATGACCAACCGGAATCACATGCTCTCCGTCACCAGGACCTGTTCTGGTACCGCGGCTGGATTCGGGTTCTTTCCCTGACAAAGTCTCGTTTTCTGTCAAAATATGAAGCATCTATTGTGGTTGAAGCTGCGGCAGGAAAGTGCGCACCGTAATTGGCCCTGCGCGCGCACCAAACTTGCACCGAAGCTATATTATGGGATGTCAGGGAAAGACACGCCGGGAAGCGCTCCTTTCATGGTTCCGAACCCAGAACCTGGCATGTTCGGCACACATGTTTCCTCTTATTAAGCGCAACACGAGCGCTTGATGGCGGAAACGAGAGACTCAAATCCAATTAGGCAGCGGGCCTCGAGTTTCTGTTAATGCGGAAGTTTGATGAGCTGCTGCAATTAGCGCTCCGCGTCAGTTTGCGCCTTCAGGCTCGACGGGAAGCCGCTCATTTGGACAGCTTTAGAATCATTTCAACACTCTAAAAACACACATCACCAATTTATCTACAAGAACTCTAAATCCCCCAATTTAAACAGAAAAACGAAAACGTCATCTTTCATTTTATATCAGTTTCACCTTCCATATAAACGATGTCATTCAATGAGTTTGATGGAAAAACCACAAGATTCAAAATCAGGAAACGTAAACACTTATTTATTTTTTAATTTGTATATTTATTTGTTTGACGCCTTTCAGCAACGATGCAGCTTAGTGTGAACAAATATAACTTATTATGACGCTTACTTTTGTCTTGTGGCCAAAAGGAGTATTACAAAAATAAGAGCCTGCTGCTGGTTGGAGTTCCCCACATCCTTATTCAATAAAACACCTTTTTAAATGTTTGCGTTCAAAATTAATAATATTTAATGACTCAAGAGAAAAAATCAGATTAGGTCACAGCAGGTGGCAGATAGGGTGGGGGATGCGGGGATCTGTCCCCCCAGATTCAGATCGACCCCGATTCGTCCCTCCCCAACTATATGGAGCTAGGATTGGGACAATATTCAGCGTAACTTGTACCAAGTTTTGTAACTTCGAACATGTTTCATCACATGTAACTTTGGATTCGTAACTTGCAACTTTAGTTTTCTAACATGTAACCCCCAAATTCCACTACCTCCGCTCCGGTCCGCCCCCGCCTTCCGCAGCCGCTCGCTTCCGAACTCAATTTTTACTGGTACGCGCTCTACAACGGCTCCGCTCCGGTGCGGAGACCTGAGGTGGGCAAACAAGCATGCGCGGAATTTTCGAGATCTTGCGATACAGTCCGAGCAATAAACGCGGAAGTTAGATCCAAACACCCGTTGTGTGGGAGAAGCATCGGCATGAGCTGTTTAATCTGCCCATCATTTGTGTTGAGAGATCAGCAGCGTTTGGATCAACAAAGTGTGACTACTTTGATAGTAGAAACTGTATTTATGGCTTACTTTTGTGCATTTAAACTTCAGCCGCCATTGATAGTTGTTAAAAGTTGTTAAACCTGTGCATATGAAACAAAAAACGCCTTTTGTTTATCGATTTATTGTGAAAAACGGAAGTTGTGCTTGCTCCTTTTCCTGTTGGGCCGTTGTGATTTCTGTCCATTTACTGCGGAGGCGCTCCGGCGTCCGGCAAAAATAGGATCGATTCTATTTTTGCCGGACGCCGGAACAGAGGGCGGCGCACGGCGCCGCACTGCCGGAGCACGGCCGCAGTAGTGGAATTGCTCTGATTGACTACAACGGGACCGATTTTGCTCCGTCGTTCGTGTCGGAGCGGAGCGGAGCGGAGGTAGTGGAATTTAGGGGTAATTCTCAATTTGTGCTTGTATGTTTTGTAACAGGAACATTGTATTTTGTACATGTATTTTTATTTGGTCAAATCAAACTTTTATTTTGTACATTTACTACTCATTTTGTAACATCAAACTTTCATTCAGAAACATGAAACTTTCGTTTTGTAACTAGCGGACTTCCAAATTGAAAAAATCAAGGTACAAGTTTGAAATCAAAGCTCTCAAAACACACATTTCATTCTACAGGTACAAACCTCAAATCTACAGTGTTATGGATCTTTTTGTCTCGATTCTAGCGTCAGTGGGAGGAACTTGGGTGGAACCAATGAGAGCACGAGTCTTGGCTACCAATCACGTTTCTCGAATTCCTGTCCAATCAGGTAGCGTTGAGAGTCCCAGACTTCCCTCTCCCCAGCCACCTGAGCCAGCTCCTCCGGGGGAATCCCCCGGCCAGGTCCGGTAAGAGGTCCGCTCCGACAGCTTCTGGTGTTTTTAAAAAGTATCCCAGGGGCACGGTAAGGGTCAGAGATGTTTAGTCTATTTAATTTCTGACTATATAAAACGATTTCTTCGGTTTTAAAGTGTGAAGTAAACTCCGACGGAGTAAAATCCAAGCCAATCCCGTTCATGTTCATGGATATGACCTGTGTTTGTTTAGCTTCTTTTACCTGCCAATATGGCGTCTACTAACTGAGAGTCACGTGGGGTCCGGAGCTCTATACAAGTGCGGATCATTTATCATTTATAGTGTTGATCAGGCAGAGCTTTGTTGCCAGCGTTCCGCTGCATAATGGCTTCAAACACGTTTATAAAAGTTAGTTTTTACACAAAACGTTGGAGGAAATTACGCAAACTGACTGAGCTCTAGTTAAGGCGCTTGCAATAGTTTGTGTATGTGTACGTGCATGTGTGTGTGTGTGTACGTACGTACGTACGTGCGTGTGTGTGTGTGTGTGTGTGTGTGTGTGTGTGTTTGTGTTTGGGGGAGGGTACATTGAAACTTTGTCCCCCCCAGTTTGAAAATCCTATCTGCGCCCCTGGGTAAGAAATTTGATCTGTTTTGTTTTTGAGGTCCCACATAAAAACAGGAATGGTCTAAAAAGAATCCTGGCCACAAAATTATGATTAAAACACCTGATAAATGTTCAGATCTGGGAACAACATCTGTTGTCAGACATAACAACAACAACAACAACAACAACATAATAATAATAATTAATGTAAAAATAATATAAGAACAGTAGTAAATGGTCTATATATACTGCCTTCTGGGTTCTACAACCAGGGTCGCTTCACAGCACAATCAATCATTCACACGTTCACACGCTGGTGGGGATGAGCTACAATGTAGCCACAGCTGCTGTGGGACACACTAACCGAGGCAAGGTCCGAGCACCACCAGCAGGTAAGGCGGGTTAAGTGTCTTACCCAGAAACAAAACAGCAGCATTCTCTGGTCGGAGCCGGGATCAAATCTGCAACCCTCAGAGGACAACCTGCCTCCTGAGCTACTGCTGTCCCTATTTTAGTGTCATCATCATTTCCAGACCACCACCCTGGTCTGCCAGTCCAGTGGAACTGCCCCCGATGTCCATGAGATGTTGCAGAGTCGCATCAGCCAACACAGCCCATCCAGTAGAGCCTTAAGGAACTCTGGGCACATCTCATCCACCCCGGAGCCTTGCCACCTCAGTGACCTCAGAACCAGAGATTGGAGAGCCAAACCCAAAGTCCCTGGACTCTGCTTCCTCATTAGAAGACGTGCTGGTGAGACTGAGGAGGTCTTCTAAGTAAGGTGACCAACGGTGACAGATCATTTGCTGCTGTGGCCCCCAGCAGGGCCGTTTCTAGCATTGTGGAGGCCCTATGCAAGATAACATTTTGGGCCCCCTTTTCTTGACAAACTACAATTGATGATCTATAAACACACCATGAATTGTCACAAGTTGCAAGCAAAACATGGTACAGTATTAAAATTACACACTCACTCAAGAAATATAACTAACTAATAAAAACTAGAAAGCAGTCAGAGTGCAGACCTCCACCCTGGGAGGGGTGTTCACTTTAGGGTTGTCACGGTAACCGGTATAGCGGTAAACCCCGGTAAAAAAGTTGACAATAAAAATAACCGTCCAGTTTTTAAAAAACAATATTATCTCGGTGGGTTTACCGTGGCCGCGGTTTCGGCGCGGTGACCCTTACCAGCCACCGTCGCTTCAGCTGAAGTTCCCGCGGCGCGCACACGCACTTTTTAGTTTGCAACGGCACCAAAACTTTGAAGCTGAAATAATGGCCGAAGGAGGCGACGGCAGCGCCCAGGACATCCATCAGCCCTCAAAGAAGACAAAATCGGAAGTATGGGCATATTTTGGATTTCTGAAAAACGCTGAGGGACAGTTAATAGAAGACGGCTATCCCGTTTGCAGAACGTGCCGGAAACAAGTGTCTGCAAAAGGCAGCAACACTTCGAATCTAATGGCACATCTGCGTGACCATCACCCACGTCTCTACAGCCAGTGCAAGGTTAAGTTAACATTAGCATTTTAGCTTAAATGCATGACGTGAGGACTTTTGGTTGAGGGAGAATGCAACGAGTCGCCGCAGCGTCCTCTGCCAGCATTTAAACCGTGTCACGGACACCCTGTTGCTGGATGAAGCATCGTATTTGTTGATGATGAAGAGAAATATACAATTAGTTCCTTGTCATTGATTTGTTTACTTATTCAATGCCATTTATACTTGAACATTTGGATTTGATTACATAGTGTAGTAGTTATTTTAGTAATTTGTTTAAAGTGGCTATTTATTTTAAATACATATTTTTTTAAGGTTGACTTGTACAGTGCTCAAGTCAAGTGTGGACTGGAGTTTTAGATTTTCATTTTGATAATGAAGAAAACAAGTATATGAGAAAACAAGTGGTGCTTCTTTGATTTGTTTACATATTGTTTATGTTTTGAATGTTTGGATTTGTATCATTTAAACCTGCACTGACTACTGTAACAAGTTCCAGAAAAATAAGCTATTTGTTCCTTTACTTGTGAAAAGTTGCACTTTTGCTAAGGCTTTGTGTTATTTTAGGTTTAATAAACACTGTTAAACCTTTTCAGAACTATTTCAGTTTGTGTAGAACAGGACTATCAATGCTTTCTGAACATATGCAACACCGTTTAAAAAATACCGCGATAATACCGAAAACCGTGATAATTTTGGTCACAATAGCCGTGAGGTTAAATTTTCATACCGTGACAACCCTAGTTCACATCACACATCCCATAATACAGGGGCTATGTGCATGTGATCAAGTACAACAACAATTGATTAAAGATTCCTGTATCAAGACAGTGGTCAAGATCACAATCTTTCTGATGGTCTGAGATTTAATTATTTTCAGTAAAACTTTGATTTTATTGGGCTATTAACATTTAAAGCTGGTGTGTGTTTGTTATAATTGGGATTTTAAACCAAAACAGTATGTTATAACTGTAAAAAAAAGCATTTGATTTTTCTTCAGAAATTTCTGAATAGAAAATCTAAATGTACATGAACAAAAAATATGAAATAGCAGAAATCAAGCATAACATGTATTACAACTAGGGCTGCAGCTATCGAATACTTTTGTAATCGTGTACTCTATCGAATCTTTTTTTTTCGGTTAATCGAGTACTCTAATAAATGACCCTTTTGTGTTTGTAAACCATTATATCAAATGGCATGTTATAAAATATGAAAGACCTCTTAAAATGAGCACGCCATTGCCAGTTATTCTTTAAGTTTTATTCAAAATTAGTTTTCAAAACTTCAGACAAATACTAGGAGGGTAACTGTTGAAGTACCGCTGCGAGCGGCTGCGGCCCAAACAGCACCAGAACCGCTCACGGCGCCTGCGCTCGCCAGCTGTTTCACTATTAACACACGTCCGTTTTAATTTCTACACCTTTTTCTCACACAATGACACGGATTGTCGAGAAAGTCTGTTTGCTTTATGTCAAATTATACTGATCACAATCAGTGGCGGCTCCAGAAATGTCTCTCTGCAGGTGCTATGAAGGAGCTAGTCTTTTTATTGAGGGTGCTATGAAGGAAGTGGTCATGCGTACCTATTGTTCTCTAAAACACCTTCAACACTAGCAGATACACATGTGTGCACAACACCTCAACAACACCTGAAACAATCATTAATATACGTCATAAACATATGAACAAACGCTGACTTTTCCATGAAATCATAAACACATACAGCCACACAGAAAACCATCTATAGTGTTGCAAGGTTAGCTAACGTTAGCGTTAGCATTTCCAGCGGCAAAACCCTGGACTGCTGCGGCGGTTGAGGGTTGACCCTCTTCATCCAGATCCGTAGGTTTTTGTGGGTCTGAGATCACTTCCAAACATTCATTCGTTTCTGACTGAACCCGTGGAAATGTGGGCAACAAAAACCGATCCATTTTACCACTAGCTAGCTCTACCTTTCACTCGATCGCAGGTGGAAAATGAGGTCAAAGGTTAACATAAATTTCCTGTCTTGGTTTAAGTTTTTACTATCTACATGATCATCGTCATCGTCGTCTTCCTCTGCTTATCCGGGTCCGGGTCGCGGGGGCAGCATCCCAACTAGGGAGCTCCAGACCGTCCTCTCCCCAGCCTTCTCCACCAGCTCCTCCGGCAGGACCCCAAGGCATTCCCGGACCAGATTGGAGATGTAACCTCTCCAATGTGTCCTGGGTCGACCCGGGGGCCTTCTGCCGGCAGGGCATGCCCGAAACACCTCCCCGGGGAGGCGTCCAGGAGGCATCCTGACCAGATGCCCAAACCACCTCAACTGACTCCTCTCGATCCGGAGGAGCAGCGGTTCTACTCCGAGTCCCTCCCGAATGTCCGAGCTTCTCACCCTATCTCTAAGGCTGAGCCCGGCCACCCTACGGAGGAAACTCATTTCGGCCGCTTGTATCCGCAATCTCGTTCTTTCGGTCATTACCCAAAGCTCATGACCATAGGTGAGGATTGGGATGTAGATCGACCGGTAAATCGAGAGCCTGGCTTTCTGGCTCAGCTCCCTCTTCCCCACGACAGACCGGCTCAGCGTCCGCATCACTGCAGACGCCGAACCAATCCGCCTGTCGATCTCCCGATCCCTCCTACCCTCACTCGTGAACAAGACCCCGAGATACTTAAACTCCACTTGAGGTAGGACCTCTCTCCCGACCCGGAGTTGGCAAGCCACCCTTTTCCGGTCGAGAACCATGGTCTCAGATTTGGAGGTGCTGACCCTCATCCCAGCCGCTTCACACTCGGCCGCAAACCTACCCAGCAAGAGCTGAAGGTCAGAGCTGGATGAAGCTAGGAGGACCACATCATCCGCAAAAAGCAGAGACGAGATTCTCCTGCCACCAAACTCGACACACTCCACACCACGGCTGCGCCTAGAAATTCTGTCCATAAAGGTAATGAACAGAACCGATGACAAAGGGCAGCCCTGGCGGAGTCCAACCCTCACCGGGAACAGGTCCGACTTACTACCGGCTATGCGGACCAAACTCATGCTCCTCTGGTAAAGGGACTGAATGGCCCTTAACAGAAAGCCACCCACCCCATACTCCTGGAGCGTCCCCCACAGGGTGCCCCTGGGGACACGGTCATAAGCCTTCTCCAAATCCACAAAACACGTGTGGATTGGTTGGGCAAACTCCCATGCCCCCTCCATCACCCTTGCAAGGGTATAGAGCTGGTCCACAGTTCCACGGCCAGTTCGAAAACCACATTGCTCCTCCTCAATCTGAGATTCAACTATCGATCGGACCCTCCTCTCCAGTACCTTGGCGTAGACCTTTCCAGGGAGGCTGAGGAGTGTGATCCCCCTATAGTTGGAACACACCCTCAGCTCACCCTTCTTAAAGATGGGGACCACCACCCCAGTCTGCCACGCCACAGGAACTGCCCTCGATGACCACGCAATGTTGCAGAGACGTGTCAACCACGACAGCCCTACAACATCCATAGCCTTGAGATACCCAGGACGAATCTCATTTGCCCCCGGCGCTCTGCAGCTGTGTAGTTGTTTGACTACCTCAGCAACTTCTGCCCCTGAGATTGGACAGTCCACCTCCAGGTCTCCCGGCTCTGGTTCCTCCTCGGAATGCACGTAGGTAGGTGGGATTGAGGAGCTCCTCAAAGTATTCCTTCCACCGTCTGACTATAGCCCCAGTTGACGTCAGCAGCTCCCCATCCCCACTGAAAACAGTATGAGAGAGTTGCTGCCTTCCTCTCCTGAGGCGCCGGACAGTTTGCCAGAACCTCTTTGGAGCCGATCGATAGTCTTTCTCCATGGCCTCACCAAACTCCTCCCACGCCTGAGATTTTGCCTCGGCAACTGCCACTGCTGCACCCCGCGTGGCTATCCGGTACCTGTCTGCTGCCTCCGGAGACCCACAGACCAGCCACGCCCTGTAGGCCTCCTTCTTCAGCCTGACGGCTCCCTGATCTATATGATAATTTACTGATTATTTTTGTTTTGTATGTTAAATAGTATCACATCCACGCGTTAAATAAAAATTAAATTGTAAAAAAAAAAAAAGAAATCTAATATTTACTTGGGGGGTGCTATGGGGGTGCAATGACTAATCCAGGGGCAACTCTAGCACCCCCTAGCGCCCCCGGCGCCGCCACTGCAACAGACATCGATAACAACACAATAAAAAGTCTGACGTGTTGTGTAAAAACTGATATTTTTAGCACATTTTTAGGTCCGACGTGTTGCAGCCAGACACAGTGTGAGCTGAAACTGAGTGCTACAAACGAAAAAGTCGCACAGTGGCCGCAGAATGTATAGAAATACAGGCTAAAATGCGTTATCTTGCAGAGGCTCCGAGTCCGCTTGCAGAAGTGACATTTACATGTGGACGTTTCCTGGTCAGGTGCCGCAGCATGGAGGATGTGGTGTTGTGGTCGGCTAGATCCATTTTACAGGATTTACACTGGAGTACGTTTTCCACCTTACGAAGTGAATAATGGTCCCACACCTTTCACATTTTCTGTCTTTTTCGCACTCCACCGGGGTCCACGTTACACTCACTACGCGCGTGTGCCATGTAGTGCAGTGTGTATGTGCGTCACTTATTTTGGTCCGGGCGAAACATGACCCCCGAGTGATTGCAAAGCCATGAATTAATTAAACATGAATTAAACGAAGCCTCGAGGCAGAGAATTGGACTAGAGGCTCTTTTGTACTCGAATTATACGAGGTACTCGAGGAATCATTTCAGCCCTAATTAAAAAATTTTTATTGACTTATTTATATGTACAACTTTCAGTGTCTGAGTTTCCGTAGATAATATCTGTCAGTGTTCAGGTGGTTTTAGATGTTGTGGTATTCTGCAGAGCAGTTCTTGTCCTGCTGCAAACAAAACCCTTTCTTGCAAATCCAGGGAGTGTATTTTATTTTATTTTTTTGCACAGAGTGTACCTGTTTCACCTCTGTGCTTCATCCATTCCTTCTCCACTGGACCAGGGTAAAGGGGATGTGACCTTGAGCGGAGGTCACTGGAGGGTTTTCATCCTCTGCACACTGCTGCTCCTGAAATTGTTGATGATTCACGGCCTCCTTCTGCTACTTGTTGCTGATTTGTTGTGGAGCTGGTGGTGAGAGGTGAGAGCTAGGTGTTCTTCCGGGGATAAATCTGGGTGTCATGGGTCGACGGTACCTGGGTCTGACTTTGTTGTCAGAAGTCCAGAAAATGTGGAGCATCTCCAGCAGCATCCTGTCTCTGACATTGTCTATTGCTGGTGATGGTGGATGGCTCTTCATCAGAAGAATCTTTAAAATTATAAAAACATCAGATTTTATAAAACATATTCAAGTGGTAAATACTAGAAAATGAAAACTAAAAAAGTTAAAACATGCAGAACTAAAGCTAGAATTATATTTGAACTGTAGATAAACTTACTGCAGCTGTGAAGGCAAATCATCTTCATCCACACCTGAATCCTCAACCACAGGTGTACATGAAGGTTTAGTTTTCCTGCAAGTAGCAGTAATAGTATATAATAGTATAGTACTGGTAATAGTATTAGCAGAAATACTAGACAACAGAAACTGGAACGGGTTTAGTGCAGAGATGCTTGCTGCATTTGGGATGGAAAACAATGTGGGCACATCTTGCTCCTCATCAACAACTTTTGAGGGAAGTTTCCTCTTTCTCGAAGGTTTCCTGGTTTCTGGTTTATTTACAAAAACAAATCTAACGTACAAAACAATAAAAAGCCTGAGTGAAAAACGCGGCTGAAAAGACTAAACTACGGGTGATCAAAATGGCGAAGCAATGTCAAATATAAATAAATATAATCTAAAATTACTAAATAAAAAATAAAGTAGGAAATTTACAGAAAATAATTATTAGTCCAAAACAATTCCTCCACTCCCCTATGAGCACGGCACATGGCAGACTGTTTATTTCCTGGTTCTCGGGCAGGGACTTGCGTAACATTACCGTAATGTATTGTATACCACTGGGAAGTACATCGTCTCAGCTTTCAGAATCTGTTGATTGCGCAAACTGTCGAAGAGTTACGGTAAACTATGAAAGCCAGTGTGTGTCACCATCGACCCAACCGCAGCAGCTTTGGGGGCCCCTAGTGGCTTGGGGGCCCTATGCAACAGCATAGGTTGCACATAGGAAGAAACGGCCATGGCCCCCAGACTCTGGACCTCTCTCCCCCTGAGCCTGAGATTAGTGGACTCAGTGGTCTCCTTTAAAATGCAGCTGAAGACGTTGGCTTTTGTGTGATCTTCATCACCACCTTCTCCCTATTCTGCTCTTATTCCTCCTTTCCTGGGATCCACTGATTTCTCTCTTTCCTATTCATTTTCTCTCTCCCTTTCCTTTTTCTTTTCTCCTTTTCAACATATTTTTAATCATTTTTAAAATATTTTATACTTAATTTTTTTAGTTTTTGTGAGGCGCCTTGTGATTTTGATCTTAAGAGGTGCTAAAGATCATCATCTTCTTCTTCTTCTACTACTCTGCCCACCGATCCACAACATCTCGAGTAGAGGTCAGCAGAACACCATCCCTCTATAAACAGTATTGGTGGCGTTCTGCTGTCCCCTCCTGAGATGCCGGATGGCGGACCATGCTCTCTTCGAAGCCACACAGAAGTCTTGCTCCATGGTCTCACTGAACTCCTCCCAAGCTTGCCTCCACAATAACCTGAGCCACATTCCACTTGGCCTGACGGTACCCATCAGCTGCCTCTAGAGTCCCACAGGCCAAACAAACCCAGTAGGACTCTTTTCAGCTTGACAACATCCCTAGCCGTTGGTTGGTCTCCGCCTTCGGTTACCACCCATAAAACATTGCACCCGGCCCATTAGGCCCCTCCCACAAGTGGTGAACCCCCGGAAAGAGGAACCCACGTTTCCTCTTCGGGCTCCTTGGGTAAAAGCCCAGCCACCAGGCGCTCGCCAACGAGCCCCACCTCCAGGTCTGGCTCCAGGGGGGCCCCGATGACTCGAGTCCAGGCGAGGGAACACTGTTTCCATTCGCATCATTCATCATTAGGGGTCTGTGGGCTACACTTTGTTCGATCCTTCACCTATGACCTGTTTGCCATGGGTGACTCTACTGACTCAGAGGCATGGATGCTCAGACAACTTAGCTGAGGCATGGGTATTATTATTAATATCATTATTATCATTATTGTTATTATTGTGTTTACGGCACACTCGTCTGTCTGAAGCACCACATCTATTTCAGCTTAATAAAATATCTCTGGCTATTTGGATGAAAATTAAACATTTATTAAACTTAATTCAATTTCAATTCAAGTTTATTTATATAGCGCCAAATCAGTGTCATCTCAAGGCACTTCACATAATAAACATTCCAATTCAGGTCAGTTCATTAAGCTTAAATAACTTGTTATTGCACCTAAATTTTCAGTTCAACATAAAAACAGAAACATTTATCTTGGTAAAATTGATTTGATTATTCAAATGAATTGATAATAGATGGAGTTTGTTGTCATTGTAGCGTGATGGATGTAGCTACGCATATGAAATGATCAATAACACGTGATATTCCACATAAATGTGAATTATCAATGTGATTGGTCTTTGAATATTTGGTTTAATAGTACACACACTTCATATTACTTCAGACAGTCAAGAACATAGTTTATAAAAATGATTTTAATTCTATATTTCTAAACTAATGATGACAGAACAAATGAAGAATGATGGTTGGACAAGATAACAATGAATGAAACGATGGAATGTAAGCTTAGATGTTTTGTAGCAAAACCTTATTAAGTATCTGAGAGCTCTTGTGATGTCTGGGTTGTAAAATCAGTCTGACTGTTTGGTTTAAAACGCTATAGATTATTCATGACAACCATTCCACGCAGGTCTGC